TGGTCATTCATGTTTTGGATTATTTTGTTTAGCTCTGCTAACTTTTTGTTTATTTGTTTTTGTACCGGGGATTGAATTTAGGACCTCTCACTTGCCAAGGCACTATGCTGCTGAGCTAAATCCCTGGCTCTGCTAACTTTTTATTAGCATGTTATATAAACTCACTGGTCATTTTATTTGGCCCAGTATCTGTTTACTTACATCTTCTGTGAGCTTGCTAAATGCTTTGATGTGTATGTTTTATTATTTCCCCTGATAAAATTTCAGATAATTTAGGTTTGTGGCTTTTGTTTTCATTTCCTTCAATACCCCATAGATCAGCTTAGGGAATTTGTAGTTTTGGGAGGGATTTTGTTGTCTTGTCTTCATGTGTGTTTTTTATTTCTGTTTATTTATTTATTTAGATATTTGTTTGTTTATTTATTGAGACAGGGTCTCACTACATAGATCAGGCTGGCCTTGAGCTCACTGTGTGATCCAGGCTGGCCTCAGACTTGCAGCGATCTTCCTACCTAAGCCTCCCAAGTGCTGGGATTATAGGCATGTGCCACCCCACCACACCCAGCTTCTGTTTCTGTAATTTTTGGTTTTTTGAGGCTTGTGGGCTGTTAGAAATGGAAAACTGTTTTTAGTATGGAGACATATTTAATTGATGTCTACTTTTCAGTGGTATCCTGTGGGCTTGACTATAGCCTTTGCTTCTGTTCCAAGATCCAACCACCTCCATTTACTTGGGATGGGAGGTTGCAGTATATTTGACCCAGCACCCAGTTCTCCAGGAATGAGCCACAGTATCGTTAATGACACCATAGCAATCCAGATACCAGAAAGAGTGGTACATCAGTTCACGAACTGAATGTGTTCTATGATTTTGGGAAAGACGGCCATATTGGTGTTTGTGCAGGAAAGATGGCCACAGTTCTGTTTGTCACCCGATGCAGTTTGCAAACAAAAACAAAATTTTGCCAAATGGTTCTGTTTTTGAGCCAAATTGTTTGCAAACAAAAGTGTTTGAACTGAGGTACTTCTGTATTGGTATCCTAAGAAAAGCAATTAATACCAGCAGCTGTGTCACCTTGGCTATAGTAATAAAATCAGCATCAATTATAGCATCAAATACATAGTATTCAGATCCTAAGGACACATAATGTACCATACAAGACAGATTTGTAATTATAGTATGAACACTAAGACAACCCAAATGACCTATTACTGACCTACAGTAAATGTCTACTACATGGAACATTTTTATCATAATAGAACAGTATTTAACAGCAGTAGTGTAAAGTTAACTAGGTATCTAGAGATTCATAAAGCTTAGTAGTTACACTACTAAAAGTAGAGGGTGTAGGGAACTGCAGAATGAGAAAAACAAAATTTAAGAAACTAAATCAGTGGGATATGAGGAGGAGAGAAAAGTGGGATAAGCAGTCCTATTGAGTAAAAGAAAATCAGTAGTGTTAGAGAATAGTCACAGGAAAGAAAGAGCAAGAACAAAAGTAAACAGTGCAAAATACAGAAGGCGAAAGATAGGAAAGAGAAAGTTGAAAGAGAAAAAAAAAAAGACTCTGGTCTCTGCTAGATCTAGGCTGTAGTTAGTGGTTTCAAGTGGGCTATTTGACTTAATGTCAGCAGTCAGTGGAACTGGCTGCCCCCTTCTCTCCCCAGGTATTCTCCTAATACAGGATCAGGTTGGCTGGTTACTCCTCACCTTTGCTGCCTTGTGCCAAGAGGACAGAATGTAGAGAAAGCTTCGAGTTGGTGGATGGTCACACCCTTGAAAGGGGAGGGTGAGGTAACAGACTGTGCATCCAGCGTGAGCCTACTTGCTAATGTCCTGTTAAATATATTTGTAATGTATCAGATGTCACCATAAGAATTCAAGATATTTATGAGCCTAATTAGTCTTGGTTACAAATCTGGTTGAGATTGATTTTTTAATTTTAATTTTGGGGGGGGTACTGGCGATCAAATCTAGGGGCTTGCACATGTTAGACAGGCACTTTACCACTCAGTTACACCTCCAGCCCTAAAAATTTATTATAGGTAAAGAGGGTGTGTAAAATTAAGGATGTTAACCAGGTTTGTGATGGTGCGTGCCTATAATCCCAGCACTCAGGATGCTGAGACAGGAGGATCGCAGCAAGTTCGAGGCCAGCCTGAGCTACCTAGTGAGTTCAGACCCAGCCTGAACTACAAAGCGAGACCCTGTCTCAAAAAAAAAAACTAACGATATTAAAGGCCATCAAACTTTCACATTATTTCAGATTGCCTTGAAATTTTTGTTAGTACATATATCATTCCCTTGCTTATTGATTAATGTTAGCATGTGATGTCTTTTTTCTATGTTTACTTATATTTGCAATCCTAAGGATCTTATTCAGGGCCTTGTGGATCTACCAGTGAACTAAATCCCAAGCTGGTTCATGTAATTTAATAGCTTGTTTTGGTTGTTTGTAAAGTGGGCTCTTGGCAGGCAGCACATAGACCTTCGTATTGCTTAATGAGTAGAGAGTAAAACCAAATTCCACCAGAGTTGGGGGTGAGGACAGCTTTAATTTCTACGCTTTAAAAGACTCCATGAGGGCCGGGGATTTAGCTCAGTGGCACTGTGCCTGCCTTGCAAGTGAAAGGTCCTGAGTTCAATCCCCAGTACCAAAAAAAAAAACCCCAAAAAAACCCTCCATGAGTTGTGTGTGGTCGTGCACATCTGTAATCCCAGTGCTTAGGAGCCTGAGGCAGGAAGATCATCACAAGTTTGAGGCCATTTGGGCTGTATAGTGAGTTCAAGGCCAGCCTGACCTGCTGGCCTTATAGTAAGATCATGTCTCACCCCCAACGCTCTATGAAAGGACAGAGGATCTATGAAAGGACATAGGATTTAGATGTAGCAGATTAAGTCATTCTAGAACGTCTAGCATGAAAATATAGAGCACAGGTTTGTAGCACTGGCTCAAGGGAAGAGGCTTGAGAGGGGCAGCCTGTGAGAGAGGGAGATATGTAGAGAAGAGAGCTTTCCTTTGGAGAAGCTGGCAATGAATGAAAGGTAATGATTGAGGAAAATTAAAGATATTATAGAAATAAAAGGGCCAGCTGCATCTTTCTTGCCATTTGTAAAAAGTATCCATAAAAATCCTAACCAGAAATGGACAGAACTCACCTTTTATCTCAGAAGCCTACCACGAAATGAAGACATACCATTTACTTTCATTCTTGGCATATACTGTTATGTGACTCTTTTGCACTTTCAGTTCTTTCATTTATTATTTTGGAGATTCTTTTTTTGAAACTGTTTTTAAATAAATTCCTCCATGTACAATGAATGTAATAAGTAGCTTAGTTATTCTCCCTGGGGCAGGTCTTCTGGACCCACATCCTTCTTATCGTTGAAGTTGCTCATAAGGTACCTTTTCTGAAAAAGACATGTTGAAAAAAACCCTTTGTTTTATAATAGTTTATAGTTTTCCCCAGTTCTCTCTTGTGTTGTTTCTTATTGAGTATTTTGTGTTGCAGTTGAATTTTTCTTTTTCCTCTACTGAGACCTACAAATGCACTCCCTCCTTCCCTCTTTTTGTCTTTTCTTTCTCTCTTCATTTCTTTTTTGGTCTTTATGAGACAACTTCTTGTATATAGTCCAAGCTGGTCTTGAACTCACTAACCCCAGTCTGCTCTTGAATTTGGAATCCTCCTGCCTCAGCCTCCCAAGTGCTGGGATTACAGGTGTGCACCACCACACCTGACTGCTTTTGAGTTCTTTATCCATGTTAATGGCTTTCATAACAACTGTGAAGCACAGACTTAGTCTCCTCACTTCACACAGGAGAAAAATGAGACATGGATATATTGTTACTTGTTCAGGGTAATAGTAGGTACAGGGTTTGAGCTTAAGCAGTCTTGGTCTTCAGTTTTTGTGTTCTTAGCCAACACTGCTAGCTCACTGTTGGATCTCATTTGTACTATTACTTTTAAGACTTGTAGTTTTATTTAAATGACATGTATTTTGTTTAATTTCTTACCATTACCACTGTGGTCATTCTATTTCATTATTTTTTCCCTTTTCCAGTGCTGTAGTCTTATCTCTGCTTCTATTCCTAACCTCATTTAATTTCTTTCTACTTAGTAGTTACAGTGATTCCTTTAGAATGTAAAAAGATTATATTACTCTCTTCTTCAAATCTCCACTGACTTTTTAACCTCTTTAGGTGCCCCAAAGGCTTTCTTTTTGCCTGTAAGGTCTTTCATATGCCAGGCTTGGCACTTCATTGATATTCTTTCCCTCCTTTACCTGTGCTGCTGACCTTTAGCCACTTCCTTTCATGTTGCATCTTGGCAGACCCTTGTTAACTGTTACCAATGAATAGCACCCTCTGCCACATAGACACTTGGTATTCTTTGTGTGTGACATCTCCTGCCACCCACAGATACCTGCTTTTCACTTCATTTGATTTGGGTCTCTTAGAAATATTTTTTCTTAGCAATTTTCCTGACTTTGATAGTTAAATTATCAATACCTCCTCACCTATTTTATGTTTACTTTATTTACATTCATAATATTTAAACCACTGCTTGCTATTTTATAATAGATGTATTTTTTTGTTATCCCTTTTAAAGATTGTAAGCTACATAGGAACAGAAAGGTCTTGATAACTCACTCAGTTCCTAACATATGATAGATGCTCCATAAATTTCTGTTGAATAAATGGAGTAAATAAGTGTTTTTATCAATGTGTAGGTGCACATTGTGTCAGTAGGTGAAAACAAGTTTAAAGTTCTCATACTTTTTCTCTCTGGAATCTTGAGTTTGAACCCAGGGATTCTGGACTGAGCTCTATCCTCAGCTCTTTTCTTTGAGATAGGGTCCTGGTGAATTGACAAGGCTGGCCTCGAATTTACAGTTCTGCTGCCTTAGCCTCCCACTGTGCCACTGTACTCAGCTGAGCTATCCTTCTAATTTCTATTAGGTTCAGAAGTTTGTGAATTACATTTACCATTTGTTTCAGTTATAAGCCAGTGGACCATAAACTTATTTGGCTGCCCTTACGAGAGACATTTGAGGAACTCTTTGCCCAGACGTTTTCCAAGAAACAAAACTTCACCTTTTTGGGACACATACAGACTTGTTACAGGCAGAAACGGTGGCATGATCTCCTGAGACTAATGCAACATGTATACAAGTCTGCTGTTAACAAAGAAGGAAAAGAGAGTGAAGCCGGTAAGGATGTTACCCAAACTGCTGGTAGGAGGGCATGAGGCTGGGCCTTAATGAACAGAACTAAGAGAACAGTTTGGGGGGAAGGATGGAGAAATACAAATTGGAGCATCCTAGGGTTTATGGCAGTTTTGAAGTATTGCTGCTGCCATGCTTCTGGGCATGATTCCCTAAAAAACAAATGGTTGATAATGCTGATATACAATTGCTTAGTTGTCAGTATGTCATGCTCCCTCACAAAAAGCCTGTTTCTATAGAGCTAGATTCCACAGCCAAGGAGTTTTTGCTAGCTAGGTTCATTTCTCTGTGCAGTCTCATCTATAAAATGATAGTAATATCATTGTAAGGGTAAATGAATTAACTAGTGCATATACATGGACATAAAAGTGAGCCAGAATGTCATAGTGGTTGGGAAATAGTTAGCATTTGTATATTGTTTGCTTTTAGTTCTTTTTACATCATTGTCTAAGATGCTTAATTTTTCTGATAATATTGTTCCTTGTATGATTTTTGTGTTTTAAAGTTGTATGTATATACAGTATTATAAATAAAATATGTATTAAATCCTTGCCTTTATTCTTTTCTAGGGGTACTTCTAAAGGAGAAATGGGAAGCATTTGGCCTTAGACTCAACCATGCCCAACAACAGATGAAAATGACTGAAAATTCGCTGTTATTTGCATTTGTTGAGGTATTTTAGTTTATTTATTTGTTAAAGGAAAGCAGTATTGACTTGATGCAGATTGCAAGTTCCTGGCAGGTTACTATAGTGCAGCCTCAATTCATGAACTTGATCTTTGCATGATTGTGGTCACAAACCAAGTTGGATGAGAACCGAATCAAATTCAGTGGTTAAGTTCAATGTTGACCTAATGGTGAAATCAGATGCGGTTCTCATCTAGTTCAGTTTGCAACGAGAATCTTGAAGAGAATTGAATTCGTGAGCCAAGGTACCACTGTATTTTGTACTTTTTTTATTGTTATTTTTAGTGCTTGCTGCTTAGAGAACATTTAAGTAATAATTAAAGATGGAGATTATTTTAAATGTCCTTGTTTCTTTTGATTTTTGAGGTCTTTATGAGCACTATTGTTATTATTTTTTAGTTTTTATTTTATTTATTTTTTGATACAGGGGATTGAATTAACGACCTTGTGCTTGTGAGGCAGACACAGTCCCACTGAGCTGAATCCCTGGCCATAATTATTATTTTTAAAGCTACAGTTGAGGCCAAATAGTGAATTCTATATTCTTTGTGTGTGTGGAACATGAGACCAGGCTAATTATGAGTGTTGGAGAGTGAGGAAGATGGAGCCCATTTGCTTTAGTTCCCCATTTTTGACTCTAGGGCATGGTTATCTCTACTGTTCGCTGTCCTGTGATGCTGTCAGGGAAAGAACATACTTCAGTGGTTTTTGTGTTTAAACATTCTGAAAGTCTGTTATGCTTTGCTCTTGCAGACCAGGATCCTTGAGTTGATATTTTGGTAAGAGACAAGTTTCACTTAACCAGATGTTCATCAGTTCAGAAAGTCTGGTCATCTGTTCCTAATCCTTTAATATGATTATTTCCAAAGTAATCACTTAAAATGTCAAGGGCTCTCAAAAGATTTATATTTTATGACTTAACAATACATGGGAGTTAATACATTTGTCCTGCTGTATTTGTCTCAGTCAAGTTTGTAGATTTTTTAAAAATTAGAAACAACATTAAAATAAAAGTATAGGACTGTTTAGTGAAACAGGTTTTGATGTGTCAGCTGAGTGGATTGTAAGATGTTTTTATTGCTCTTTGAAATAGAACTAGATATAATATTAGTATAGTAGATCTGAGGAAAGATTTCATTTAATATCCTTCAGTAACTGTGAAAGGCCATGCATTGCACCTCCAAACATTCTTGGAGGTATACTCATAACTTGACTGCATACTTTGGGGGTGGGTTCAGTAGCTAATTGGATCCTTTTAAATACCTGAATGTATTGTAAGTTGCCATTTACTTGACTTGAGAACATCTGCTTTATTTCATCTCACTATTCACAGATACTCACTTGACACTTTTGGACATTTACAAAGTTGACATGGCCTTAACTACTGGCTTGCTTTAGCAGTTAAATCATACTTGAAAGTAGCAGAGATTTGTCCTTACTCCAGTTTTAATCTTGCTTATATATCAGCTCTAGGTGAATGTAACTTTATTTGAAATGCAGTCTTAACTTTTTGCTTCATCTTCTAGGGTACATTAGCTCAGGCTGTAAAGAAAGGAGAGTGGATTTTGTTGGATGAGATTAATCTGGCTGCTCCGGAAACGTTAGAATGTCTGAGTGGTTTACTTGAAGGATCTTCTGGCTCCCTGGTATTGCTTGATCGAGGAGACACAGGTAGCATTTGGCTTGACTTGGAGACAAGTCTTTGGTCACTTAGAGAAAGATTCTTTCTGTTTTTTGTTTTTGTTTTAGTACTGGAGGTTGAGCCCAGGATTTTTGCACTGATGTTTATCCCCAGGCTTTTTGTGAATTTTTTCTAATTCTTTCTGACTAAGGTGCAGGCAGGGCTCGAACTTGTGATCCTCCTGTCTCAGCTTCCCAGAGTTCAGAGATTAAGGGCATGTGCCACTCCACCTGGCAAGAATGAGATTCTTTTGATTAGATTGATTACATAAGGTTCCCAATGGGATTTGTTTATTCCTTACATACTAAGTTTCTACAAAATCATTAAACTGGTCCTAAGTGACATAGACTATGCAAAGAAAAATTGGATAATTTGTCAAGACATTTGGGTTGTGGATAATAGATATACACACATTGACAAAATATTCATGGATCAAAAAAGCTGAACAATAAACAAATATACCATAAAAGTGGAAGTATATGGTTAAGTTGTGCATATGGGTCTTAAAAGTGATTTCAGTGGGATTTCAGAAAAGGGAAGGATGGTATGAAGAGCTAGCACCAACCTGGCTGATCCTAAGAGGGCGTTACTGGGCTTTGGGTTCTGTGGAGTTCCATGGGCATCTGTGGCTGATCGTCTGATTATTTCAAATTGTTGAGAATTTCTAATTTTCTCTTAACAGAGGCCCTGGTTCGTCATCCTGACTTTCATTTATTTGCCTGTATGAATCCAGCCACTGATGTGGGCAAAAGAAATCTTCCACCAGGAATAAGAAATAGGTAAGGTTTTTAAAGTTATCTTTCATTATTCACTGGTAATGGTAACATAACTGTATTTCAAAATAGTGCTTGAAATTTCTTGATCTCTAATGGAGGAATTTTAACTTCTTTATTTTTTATGTTCTACTTTGTATAGATTGTAGGCATATAGGAAACTGCAGAGCAGTGGAGAATATTTTGGGTTGTTAGTATGATACTTAATAGCAGATGGGTATTGTCTAAAATAATTTTATGATGAGCATAGTGGTGTCATTTTATAATCTCAGCTATTCAGGAGGCTGAGCCAGGAGAATTTCAACTTGAAGGCCAGCCTGAGCAACTTATCAAGACCCTGTTTCAAAAAAAAAAGTAAAAAGGGCTAGGGTTGTAGCTCAGTGGTAGAGTGGTTTTCTAGTATGTACAAGACCTTGGGTTCAAGCTCCAGTACCACACAGAACCAAACACAAACACAAACCAAAATAAAACTTCTTCAAACAGCCTCTTAGCTATTAGAAAAATTTTTTGTAAAAATGTAGCAGTGTAGCATGTAGCAATAGAAGTGTATTTGGGGGAGACAGTCCTCTTTGAATTAGGCTAGTGATTTGTAAAAGGCCTTTTAGAAAGATTTCTTTGATTTTTGTCATCACTAAACACTGACATGAAAAAGCACTTAGTTTTTTGGTATTTTATATATGTAACATTCAAAAAAGGATACATAACCAAATTTTTTATTGGTACTCTTTTGTTTTATTCAAGTTTTAAAATAGTGTTTAAAGTCTATTAGATGCCCTCTCCATTAGAAAAGTAATAAAAGCTTCATGGGGAAAGTTTAGAAACTATATTAGAGTATATTGTTTTTTGTTGCATATATTTTTTGCTAACACTTTAGTTTTGATAAAAAGACTTGGGATTTTTTTTTTTTTTTTTTTTTTTTGAGACAGGGTCTCACTATGTAGTTCAGGCTGGCCTTGGACTATGTAGCCCAGGCTGGCCTCGAATTCATGACAATCCTCCTCCCTCTGCCTCCTAAAAAGACCTTACAGTGAAGATAAATACGTCTTAGTTTTGTAACTTATTTTTGTAAATATGTCTTAGTTTTGTTTCCTCATGTAAGAATTACAGATAAAAGTAATAATGATATTTATTTGGTTAACCAGTTATTATCTTCTGTTTCATTGTGGTCAGTTTGTATCTCAAGTTAAATGACTTGTTTTATATTACAAGTGATTAAAGTGAACTTTTGTAGGCCCGGGGAATTTATCTCAGTGGTTCTGCTGCCTGCCTCGCAAGTGCAAGGTCCCGAGTTCGATCCCCGGTACCAAAAAAATGAACTTTTATAACTTTTTTTCATATTTTTCTGTTGTCATCATGATTATTAATTTCCTAGAAAGTAGTTATTGTGTGGTAACTGTCTTCTAGGTTCACAGAACTTTACATAGAAGAATTGGAAAGTAAAGAAGACCTACAAATTCTTATTGTGGACTATCTGAAAGGATTGAGTGTAAACAAAACTACAGTGCAAGGAATCATAAAGTAGGTTCCTTTTGGCTTGTCTTTATGTGCCTTTTCTCTGAACATAACAATGTATTCCATGTAGACACACATACATTTATTTTCCTTCTTTTTTGCTTCTATTTGGAGAAGACTGATGGAAGGATTATTATGTAGATTTGTTTTAAAATTGGAAACTTATGTGAACTTCCTCAGATTTTTCTAAGGAAGCTACATAGAGAGCTTAAGGACCATCACCTATGAGAATATGTGAATGATGAGATAATATTTTCTTTTTTAGATAATATTTTCCCAGTTACCTCTGCACTGATTCAGCTAGTGGCACTGTGCCTGCATGGCAAATGCAAGGTCCTGAGTTTGATTCCCTGTACCAAAAATAAAAAGTTTAGATACCTAGATGAGATATAAATGGCTTGTAGCTGGGCATGGTGGTGCATGCATGTAACCCTAGCACTCTGGGAGGCTGAGGCAGGAGGATTTCAAGTTCAAGTCCCACCTGGGTAATTTATTGACTTAGGCCCTGTATCAAAACTTTAAAAAAGTACTGGGGATATAGCTCAGTACAAGGGCTCTGGGTTCAATCCCCAGTGCTTCCCCATCACCAAAAAAAAAGGCTTACTGTCTTGAATAAATTTCTTTCTTTCTTTCTTTTTTTTATACTGGGGATCAAACTCAGGACCTTGTGCTTGCAAGGCAGACTCAGTACCACTGAGCTAAATCCCCAGCTTGATTACATTTCTTTACTGCTTACAGTTTGCATGCTAGATATGGGAGCATGGAAGGTCAGTAAAATTGATTGAATTTAGTTTGGAATTAATAGATTTTGTATCAGCCAACCTGAATTCTAGTACTACCTCTAGAAGCTACTAATGTCTTTGTGGGCATATCACTAAACTGTCTTTCTGTCCTTGAGAAAGAAATACAACATGTAAAAGAATAGAAATGGTATCATATTAATGTTTCAGTTATATTGTTTTTTAAAATAGTATGTATTGAGTGCCTCAGTGCTAGGGACGTACTGAAAATAAGACAAAATTTGGTGCTTCACATACACCCTTAATGCTAGAGATTAAAATAACCATTAAATGGAGACATTTATTCAAAGAAAGATTATCTTCCTAGATTTCAAAGAGACAAGGCAAATCCAACTGGGGACATCCAAACATCTGTGACACATACTTAGTTACATTTGATCTTGTGGTAGATCATGAATTTATAAAATTTTGATGTATGTGAAATCCTGTTTTGGTATGAAACTTCTTAAATCTTGTCATCATCTGGATTTGTGAAGTATGATAGTGATTAATATATTTTGTTTTTCATCATAACTCCTCACTCTTTGTCATTACTGAGTATACCTGTATCTGTGGCCTTTGAAGGCAGTATGAGTTCTGTTTTTTGTGAGTTTACATTACCACTATAGATTTTATAGGGACTTTATTTCCTCCTCAAGTTAGAGCCAGCTCTGGAACAATGGGTTGGCATTAGTATTTTCTTGCTAAGGGACTCCTATTCTCCTTTCTCTAAGAGACAAAAGTTTTGTGTGCTGCCTTGTTTGAAAGATAGCCCGTGTTTATGTGAAAAATAGATTTGAAGAGCACAGAGCAGCTGAGGGTGTAGCTCAATGGTGGAGTGCTTGCCTAGCCTGTGCAAGGCTGTGGTTCTAATCTCCAGCACTGCCAAAAAAAAAAAAAAAAAAAAAAAAAAAAACTGAGAGGGTTCAGTGTATCAGGGAGTGTTTATAAGCCATATCATTTGTGTTTTATAAAAATGGCCTTTGGCTCTTTTGTAGAGAACTGGAAACAATAATACTTGAATTATAAAATAATACCTTAGTTAATAAAATTGCCTAAACTTTATTCTCTTTGTAGCTTCTACACAACTTTGCGGAAAGAGTCTAGCACCAAATTGGTGGATGGTACTGGCCACAGACCTCACTACAGCCTTCGGACTCTCTGCAGAGCCTTGCGATTCGCAGCCTCCAATCCGTGCAGCAACATTCAGCGCTCACTCTATGAGGTCTTTCTAAAGTATATTTGATTTGGGAGCTGGGCACATGGCCTCACGATGGGAAGGAAAAAATGGGGATAGAGTTAATAGATTTGTCTAAGCTTTAGTCACATTAACCCAGCACACTTCATACCAAAGGTACCCCTCCACCCTTACCACTTTAATATTTAACAATGTTAACCATCTTAACATTGTTCCGGGAGGTAGTACCACCCAAAAACCTTGCATTTTGTTCCTGAAGTAAGTTGAGCTGTTATTACAGAGGGGCACTTCATTTTATACATATTTACCTTTTCTTTCTAGGGCTTTTGTTTGGGTTTCTTAACACAACTTGACAGGACATCACGCCCAGTAGTTCAGAAGCTCATTTGTCAGCATGTCATCTCTGGTAATGTCAAAAGTCTGCTAAAACAGGTATGTTAACATAAAGGATTGTTTAACATAAAGGATTTTTGAAACAGAGTCTTGCTGTATTTAGTTCAAACTGGTGTTGAACTCACTATGTAGCCCCACCTGACCTCAAACGCATGGCAGCTTCATGGCAACCATTCAAGTGCTGGGATTACAGGTGTGTTGCACTAGCCTGGTTTAGGAAGTTAATTTGATTCAAGTTTTACTCCATACTTATCTGTCTCTATCCCAGTTTTAAAACCAATGTATGATGACATTTTGTTTTCATTTCTTAAATGTTCATATTTTGCTTGTGGTTTTAATGTTAGGAGCACTTAGGCAGCATTCTTGGTAACAATTTCTTTTCCTTTTTTAGTCCCTTGTCTGGAGGAAAGCCTCAGTTGTCCTGAGACTGTTGGTCATTTTTCAACATTTTTCTGACTTTTAGCCTATTCCAGAGCCCAAAGGAGGTCGACTTATTCAGGTTGAAGGCTACTGGATTTCAGTGGGAGACAAGGAGCCTACAATAGATGAGACATACGTTCTGACATCTTCTGTTAAGCTGAACCTGAGAGATATAGTCCGAGTGGTGTCTGCAGGGTATGTGAGCCTTTTCTCCCACTACTGTGACATTACTATAAGCCTGGGTATCGATGTTACTCTTGTTTACCTTCTTTAACTTTTTTTTTTGGTACCGGGGATTGAACTCAGCACCTTCTTTAACTTTGGAAGAGCTTCACTGCTACTCATTGACAAACTGAATTACTACTTTCTAAAATCTACACTGCTTTTCTTTTTCTCCTGGTGCAAAGCATTGTTTCTAGTTGTACATTTTGGGGGAGCAGTGTGGATGTATGGACTATTTTGGCTTTCTTTAAAGTTGTTTTTTCATATTTTGCCGATGAGTACTTATCATTCATTGTTAAGTAACAGCCAACACATATTTTTTTTATAGGTATTGCCAGAAAGGTTGGAATTGTTTTCTTCTTCTTCTTCCTCTTCTTTTTCCTCTTCCTCTTCTTATTCCTCTTGTTCCTCTTTCTCCTCCTCCTTCTCCTCTTTTTCCTCCTCTTCTTTCCTTTCTTCCTCCTTCCTTCTTCCTCCTCCTACTTTCCTCTTCCTCTCCCTCCTTCCCGCCTCCTCTTCTTCCCTCCTTCTTTCCTCCTCCTCCTGCTCTTCCTCCTCCATCTCCATCTCCATATAGTAAGTTGCTGACTTACAGAGGAGTTTTGTTCCAAGAGAATTGTTCATGATTCATTCCATTCCTAAACCAACAAAGTGAGTCTTACACAGTACACCTGTGAAAGTTTGCAACTTGGAATATTTGCAAGTCAGGGACTTCGGGTACTTAGGATTGAATCCTAGGCCTAGAGCTGTGATGGATGGTGTACCTATTAGGGCTTTGATGATACAAATAGCCTGCTACAACACATGTGTCATGGGCTTACTGCCATGGGCCTAGAGTGTGCTAATCAAGTGTTTTGCTACTGAGCTATAGCACCAGGCAGTTTTTTTTTTTTGTTTTGAGACAGGGTTTGCAGGTTCATGGTTGGACTTGAACTCACTATGTAGCCCATACTGGCCTCGAATTCATAGCAATCCTCCTGACTCAGCCTCCTGAGTGCAGAGATTACAGGTGTGCTCCACCCAGCAGCCATTTGTATTCTTTATAATTTTTTAAAATTTAGAGATAAGTTGCCTAACTGGGATTGAAAGTGGGATCCTCTTTCCTTGACTTTCCAAGTAGCTGGAGTTCTAGACCTTTGTCAACATACCCAGTTTTAGGGGCCGGGGATTTAGCTC